CCAAAATTTCTATGAAACATTACGTAGAATTTGATGCAAGAATTGTCTCAAAGAGGTGATTGAGCCAGTTCTGAGAAAAACTTCGTTGTGAAGCCTACACATTGCATATAGATACTGATTGAAAATTATGAAAATTTCTTAAAGCAAATCTAGAGAATATATTGAATGCTAAAATACGTGCAAATTTCCATCAAACGTAGATGACCTATCGCAAGTGAAGTATATCGAAGGGCCAAAATTGACCTTATTGAATCAATCCATTAGTAGTGGTCTGTGAGTGGCGCAAATTGGCTATTATGGTTATATCTGCGTCATATAACTTGGCTTTTCGTTGTGAGTAATAACTTTTGATAAACAAGAGATAGGACTTCCATTATGAATAAAACGAAACTTACTGTCATGAATCTGAAAGCCAGCAGTATTCATTCACACGGTCGTAGTATCGGCAAGCTAGTAAGTCCTTGATGCTCTTTCTTTAACCGCTTTGAAAAGTTTGAGAGCTTATACAATTGTATTTTTGCCGTATATAGCATGCACTATACTGACAGCCGGAAACAAATCGCGCCATTCGACCGCTCCCCTTTAATAAATAACGACCTAATAAATTAATTTTTCCCTGACAAAGATTTGGCTGCGCAAAGGAGATAAACCAGATAAATAGAATTATAAAAACAAAGAAGAGTATGACATTTTTCACTTTTTGAATAAGAAGAATTTCAGACATAAGAGGTAAGAATTTTAGAAAATTGTGGCGATTAGGCAGGTTAAACGTTCCTTTAACTGAAAAAACCGAGTAATTTTCTGTTATCTCGCGTAATTATGACTGATGTCATGTTCTAAAACTCCCTAATGTTAAAGAAAACAGGTTTTGTGAGTAATCATTTGACAGTAGATAAAGTTCTTCGGCTCATTGACGTGTATAGGGTATTTTCCTTTTCCAATAATTACTACCAAGAGATCAGCTGCCTTTCACCCAAATTCGGGATATAAAGTTGTCACTCCCAGAAAAATGCTACTACTTCGTCAACAATTTCTGTATAT